TGGAAGTATGACCAACATAATCATTTTCACCGGAAAATGTCTGAACAACTAAGTAACATCCACTTTTGTTCTGGTTCTGACACTGCAGTAAATCGCACTGATTAAATCTAAAAATCGGTTATCATCACGCAAAACCGTGCAAATTATACTTTGTTCTCAAATTGTTAATGTCAACGTCGGCATTGCGTGACTACATGTAATGTCCTTCCGATATTATCCTTGTTTTCGCATGGGCCGGTTGCAGTCTCTTTTTTTTTCTGTAGCCGCTCCGAAGTCCGAACGAAGTCTTTTGCATTTTACAGCGGGTGAGTCTCTAGTTTTCACTGGTGATCGTCGTTTAAACCTTTCTGGATCCGCCATCAAATTGATAAGTTTAATTATTTCAAGTGCTGTGAGAAAAGGCTATAAATCTCCACCTCCAACATCCTCACACTCACAGCCTACTAGCCGAGACTCTTCTTTATGTGTACAGATGTGTGTGTACAGATGTGTGTGTACAGATGTGTGTGTGCAGATGTGTGTGTACAGATGTGTGTGTGCAGATGTGTGTGTACAGATGTGTGTGTACAGATGTGTGTGTACAGATGTGTGTGTACAGATGTGTGTGTACAGATGTGTGTGTGCAGATGTGACGTAATGACGCAAAGACATGCTCGAATCTCCCGCTGAAATGCACCAGTACCACTGGAATTACAAACATTATTACAAGCTTACCGCTTTGAATCGAACTACGGCAAGCAGAGAGTGCTGAACACTGGCTGGTTATGCATTTTCTCAAATATGTATTTTGGATCATTTTTAACCCAAAAAAAGCTACGAACTGCAGCTTTAAATCAATTAAAATAAATAAATATAATGTAAATAAATTAGATGTTAAATGAATAAATAAATAAATGCAATGTTAAAGGGGTCGTGAACTGAGAAACCAAATTGTCCTTGAGCTTTTGACATATAAGAGATCATCATACTATAAGAATATCCTGTAAGTTTCAGAACTGAAAACTTCCTTGTTAGTCCAAAAACAGCTTTTATTGTAACCAAGCCCAGAGAACGACTCGTTGTGGAATGTGAAAGTCCGCCTCATCATACTTCATCATCGCAACTTTAGCCCCGCCCACTGGCGTGTTAGTGGGATGAGGAGGAGAGAAGAGCAATACAGGATCACTGGACTACAAATAACATTACTAAATCCTAATGCTAGGAATGTGGTTATTTATTTTCAACAATGTGAATGTCTCAGTTGAGCATTATTTATTTGTATTCTGTACATTTCACTGGATATGGACTCGACGGTAATGCGACAACATGTAAGTTACCGTGTAATGCCTGATCTGTGACCAGTGATTTCTGATATGTAATGATTCATGTACAGTCAGATGTTCTTTGTCTATGTGTCAGTAAATCAAACCAGTGACTAAATGGTCAACTTCACATTGTTTCACTTAGTATGAAAATAATCTGTTTTTTAAACTGTGATTAAATTACATATAAAAAGCGACCAAATAACGCTACCTTTGCAATCGCCGGAGCTGTCAATCAAACAGCGCGACTTCATCAGTGACTTTTGTCCCATTATTTTTTCTCATTTTAATGCTCTTATCAACATGGAAAAGTGGATCGGCTTGATTTGTGCAAATGGTTTTTATTGAAAACAACATTGGCATAAACTGTGTTCAATTTCACACTAACATTCTCACTTGGAGCAAATAATCTCTCACACAATGTAACACTGTCCATCAATAAAAGGGTGAAAGAAATACTGACGAGGTCCTGATATTGACGAGGGGGCGGAGAATTCGCATCAGCTGTGTGTGTGTGTGTGTGTGTGTGTGTGTGTGTGCTTGGCCATCATCAAGTGGTGTTTCAGACTGGACGCGCTGCGATGATGATAGCTCAGTTCACAATGACAAAACACACAGATCACTTTGGTCTCGTCAATGGAACCATTTGGCAACTTTTTAAAAGTAAACTTTCCATTCAGAATCTTATTGGCATCCATTTCGGCGTCTCTCGCTCGTCATCCACTCAAAACGTAACGTTAACCTACTATTTGGCCGGCTCGCAAGCCCAAACGAGTGTGTGCGGCGTGCCTGTTGTTTTGTTTCCGGTCTAGCTAGATCCGCTTGCGCTTTGGTCGACGAAGCAACAAAACGTCCTCGCGCGGCGCAAGCCATTGAAATGAATGGGTTTCATAGCGCATTGCAAAAGCATGTGAAAAAAACTACAAAGTTTGCTAGGCCAAAAAGTTAAAAAATATAAAAATTAAAAACGGCGATAAAAAAATTGACGCCGTTAATAACGCGTTAAACTGACAGCCCTAGATGAAAGCATTCGTCAGTGTGCAGAAATCGAGTTGCAGAGACGAGATCACAGCATTCATGCGCCCAACATATCTGTGATCGGCTACAATGCTCATCACTGCAACCTTTCATGCCACAATGTAAATATGGTAATATATAATCCTATAACCACACTTTCCACGATTAGTTAACCTTGAGACCTGTATTAGTAAAAACGTGCTAAAAGTGTTTGAGAGAGTTCCACATGTAATACTCAGCTATTTTATATGCAAAGCTGTTAGCCAATCCCAGCAGTGGGCGTATACACTGAAGTCTCACACAGACACGCCCCTTCAAACAGAGCATTCAAATCAGAGGATAAAATCAGGCTAGGAAAATGCCTTTTATTTCTAAATTATGACCATTTTTGATGTAAAAATCATACTAACATTATAAGTGCACCCCAGGAAACATTATAAAAAAAAAAAAAAGCAGTTCACGATCCCTTTAATTGAAATAAAATGTTAAATAAATATAAATAAATAAATGTAATGTTAATTAAAATAAATATGTTAAATAAATGAATAAATAAATAATGTAATGTTAATTGAAATAAAATGTTAAATAAATAAAAATAAATAAATGTAATGTTAACTGAAATAAATCAATCAATCAATAAATGTTAATTTAAATAAATTACATAACATAGGAATATTAAAATACTTTCAGTTAGTTCTAAAGACAAAATTTGCCAATTTCTTTTTACTAAAACTAAACTTTAAAAAAAATAAAATAGGCATATTAAAAAATAATCAAAACAACAAAATTACTAAAGAATCTAAAACTAACAAATAATAAGATAATAGTAATGATACTAAAATAACTCTGACAACCTGGGGCCGTATTCACAAAGAATTTTAAGGCTAAAAGTAGCTCCTAACTGGCGAATTTAGGAGCAACGCCTAAAAATAATGGGCATGTCACTCCTGACTTTAGGACTCCTAATTTTGTTCACTAAGAGTAATTCACGAAGCATTTTAGCCTTAAAAGTAGCACCTAAGTCTGGGACAGCTTAAAAGAAGTCGAGAGGACTCCTAACTCACTAAGACCTATAGCTTGTTTTCATATGACGTCACGCCACTGCGTTGCCATGGCGCGAAATGCAAATGGAGGGCAGGAAGTGATTTGCTGTATTTAGAAAGCTCTATAACAAACTCAAAATGCCTATGTTTTGCGTCGTTTATGGTTACTTAAATCGATCAAACCACGAGGAGTTTTTATCTAGTACCAAAAGTTGTTGTTCATAAGGGGGGGAAATGCAAGAAATTGACCGAAAAAGGGCTTGCAAGCCTACGTCTGCGGTCGGGAGGAGCCGAATGGGAAAATGCCCGTGTGTGCAGTGATCACTTCGTCAAAGGTGAGTTAATACAACTTAAGTGGCTGTGTTTGTGTAACGTGTAACGTTTCCGAACTTTGTAAAGTCAAAGTATGTATGACGAGGTAGATGCTGATATCTACCGCCTCGATGGCAGGAAAATCTTTCAATTCAGTTGAAAAATCGCTCCTCTTCATCTCTTCATAACGTAAGGATCACGTCCAACATATGTTTGATTTTTTGTTTATATCTTTCTCTTGTAATAGCGTGTAAAGTAGTACAGTATGGACTTTCCTCCATCTCGTCCATTGCGCTCTTCACTTCCTGCCCTCCATCTGAATTTCGCGCGTCATCATAATCACGTGACTGAAACCCAGCTTTTAACAAAGGATCGTAGCGCATACCACCGCCTCTTGCAGTCGTCCGGGGTCCGCGACACAAGCGGGAATGCTGCATTGATCTGCAAACAAATCCTCTCCCATTCTCACGCTTAGTTTTGCTTGATATCCCAGTGCCAAATTTCCTTTTTATTATGTTTTTTTTTTCCAGCACCAGCTGGGCCAGCAGCAGTAACTGATCCTGCGTCCAGTTGGGCTTTCTTTTCCGTTTTGGCGAGTTCATCATCCACCGTCATTCAACTATTACATTACTTCAATAGGAGCAACATTTCCTTGCTTTAAGTAGGCCTAGTCTATTTAGGCTAATAGGATGTCAACTAACCAAGCAAGTGTTAATGCAAGTGTCGTTTCATTATTAGGCAAGTGGCGGTTTTCATTCGGGTATTACCTTGATTTTATTTAATTGGATTCACGACTTTTCTCTCTCTCGCCTTTTTAGAATTACACTTCACTGGGGCCTGCACAAACATGTCATTATATATGCATTTCAATGACATTACTATTATTATTTTGTGTAGGACACAGACATATTTAGATGTGGTAATTCCATGATTTGTTGCGTCTGTGTTATGTCCCGCATGATGGCCCTGTAATCTAACAACCGATCACCGTGATCATTGCGAGGAAGCTTGTGCATGAGAAGTGACGTCATCTACAGCAACGAAGACTCACTCTTAGTTTAGGAGTCGTCATTTTTCCTTACTAAGAGTAGGTCTGAAAGGCGTTGTGAATAACTTTTAAGAGAAAACTCCTAGCTAAAATATTTTAGTGCAATTTAGGAGTACTAGTACTCCTAGTGGTAAGATAAAATTCTTTGTGAATACGGCCCCTGATCAACAAATATTGCACACAAAACTGGGAAGCACTTGTGTAAATAAACAAATAATAATAGTAATACTCACACATGCTTCAATCACATGCACTGGTTTCTGATTTGAGAAATCTTACCTTATTCTGATCTGTCCAGTACAGGAAGTATCCCTGCGGATCGACGCGCAACGTCACTGGGGTCACAGTAGAAGAATCCTGAGCAGAGAAATGACATTTTTAAGTCTAAATACACAGCAGATATAATATAAACATGGTTATGGACAAGATATTCAGAGCATGCATTAAAGGTCCCGCGAAAAGATCACATTTTTTTCCCTGCATTGACATATTTCCTATTGGAACAGGGTTGAAATTCAAGACGCTGGAAGACATGACGAAATATAAAAAAATGACGTAATCTCCCTACGTTCTCAAAATCGTTAAATATATGCATCTTTAAATGTTTTATATTTCTCTATTTTTTTCAATGCTTCATGGGATTGTAGTTCTTTCCCTCATTAAAGCTGTTATGCAGTCTTTATTCAAACACTTTTTTACTTCAAATCAAAGTTTGTAGTGTTGTGATTCTCCTCGTAGCTGGTTGTTTTTGGCTTATAACGCTTTAACCAAGACTTTTTTGAAATCCCAAATAAAAGGAAAAAATATGCTGAAAAAGTGGACAGGCACTGTTGAACTCTAAACCTTTAGTTTACATGAACCATGCTTGCACAAATTTGGACAATCCACATCATGCATATATGGATCTGAAAGCAAAATGATGTACAGCTGGAGGAGAAAGATATCATTTCAAATGCTAAAAGTTTCCTTTGACTCCAGCATATAGAAGAGCTAACAGATGGGAGTATAACCCAGGATTTCGATATCAAGGGTCTGTAAAGTCGACTGCAGGAGGAGTTATTTTAAGCACACTGAACAAAAAGCGCAGCAAAATCAAAGTCTTCAGTGAACCGACGTCATGTTTCTGTGGGAGGTAAAGACTAATCTCGCCTCGCGCAAGAAAAACACATGGGATTTCTGTGGCAATCCACTTGAAAACATGTTTCTCGAGGTTCGAGGTTTGACTCAGACATTGCATAAGTGCTCTATGATTCATGCTGGCTTGCGATAATTTCCCACTGGTGGAAGTCACAGAATTTCAAGAAGCAGGAAACGAGACGTCGGTCCTGTTTGAGACGTTTTTAAGCGGATCATTTGAACAGACACGCAGCTGTGCTGTGAGGAACGAGGAGCAGACGTCAGGCGTCCCTTCAGAAAGAGATCTGGAATTGATTGTGTTATTTTAGATCTTGCGTGGGTCTGCACACATTCTAACTGCACATCTGCGGCGCAGCATGTCTTAGCTAATGTAAGGCAGGCCAGGAAGACGGGAATATAAAGCATGAAAGTTGCCATAGCAACAGGCCAACATTTCCAGTTTTATTTGCAGTGAAAAGCTTTTAAACGTCAACATTTTCAGCATAAGCTCATGTAAAGCTGTATGGCATTATTGTGCTGATAGCAGTCAGACTCCTCCAGAATACTGCATTCATTTAAAGTGATTTAAGCTTCTAAAGGACCACAACATAAATCAGACCTCATTGAAAAACATTTTTTTTTTTAGTTAGGCCTACTTTTAAACCTGGAAAAAGTAAAACCAAGAATAGTAAGACATATTTCAGATCCTGCACTATTTCTAGTCAATAATTAAAGTGGAGATATTGACTCTCGGTCAGATTCTCTGGAGAACATGATCTTCAGGTTTTGTTCATGCATCTCCAGTGCTGAAGAGAAACACACAACACATTCACAGATGCTTCCTAATGTTTCTTGTCTGCTGACAATTTGCAATGAAAAAAAATGTTTTAATGGTGAAAATGGTATCAGATTTAAATGCACTAAGAGTTGCACTAGCTTTTTTGGACCAAATACAGGAATGTTGCCTGTATGATTAAAATAACCAAGAATGACTTTTATATTTCGCTTTAAAGCATTACATAATAGAAAAAAGTACTGATGTTACCAACATCAACAAATGTTTTGGATAATTTTGCCGAACCACATTGAGTTACAGGTGATGTTTGATTAAAAAGACGGTAGAACCAAATGTTCAAGCTCTGTTAAAAGTCCAAGAATTGGTCATTAAAAACATATTTGATCAACCATGAAATGCAATATTGAGGAGGACATTCTTAAAACATGTAAAAAAAAATAAAGTGTGTGCAAAAACTGAAATCTTGTCAATGCATGCTTTAAAACAATTATTTGGCAATTGTCTTATATGAACGTGTCTCAATTCTCAGAGTGCAGTGAGTTTTTCCTGCTGACAAACTCTCATCCAACAGGTGAATGTGAACATCCAGTGCTGATCCTCAATCAATGCTCATGCAGCACTCTCACAAAATGCGACATTCAGTCTCCAAATGCATGCTTCTTTGTAAAGGTTTTCATATTACAATACACAGTGAGGAATCATCTGAGCTTGTTGCATTAGTGCATTAGGTTTCTGTAAAGTGACAGCAGGGCTGAGATGCAGCGATACATGACTGCACATAAAGTAACCTGATGTCATTCTCATGAACCTCTGCAGAGACTCGGACAGATGGAGTCTGTGAAACATGCTGATGGACTTGAGAACTGGATACTGATCTTAGTGGCTCATTTCTCTCCCCTCTAACGCCAATAAAGGTCGATCAGGAGCTGACTGAGTGAGTCTGCGGCGTTTAATGTTGGACATGTTCATGTATACATACAATGCAACATCCGCGCGAGCGATCAAACAAACAAACAAACAAACCAACCAAACGCCACGCGCGTTCACCGCAGAAGCATCATCATCATCATCATCATCATCATGTGCATTCATCCTCTGACAGCCGCAGACACACAGGCTAATAGTGACTTACCTCATCCCATTTCATAAACCTACTGCCTCGCTTCAGACTCTCGGACACGCGCACCGGCTTGAGTTGAAGCGCATGAACGCCAGGTTGAGCTCCAGCCATTCAAGCTTCAACATTTACACCCAAAACAGCGTGGGGAAAATCAAGTCACTCTTCTTTTCTTCTCCGGGAAGAAGCCAAACCGGAGCGCACAGGAGGACAGCGGAACAGTAGTGGTGAATGGAAGCGCTTTACGCACGCGGATGCCCTTGGCATATGGACACATTACATGCCTGCGGTCTCCCTCACTGAACGCCGCAGATTTGTGCTTCAGAACGGAAGGAGCAAATGAGCAGCAGAGAGAACCAGCGATCATAAATGATGGAGAGAGAGAGAGAGACTCGATTGTGTGTGTGTGTGTGTGTGTGAGTCCTCCGCACACTGACTCATGCGCGCGCTGAGATCCAGCGCCTCCTAGTGCGCAGCGCGTCCCTCCCCTGCTCAACAAACCCTCACAATTAAACATTTCATAACACCTCTGCAAAGAGAATGCAGGCAGGACATTGGGGGATTTTTTTTCTAGCTATTTTAGCCCTATATAATTCAGCACGGAAGACATAGGTTTATTTATTACAACAATTGCAAAAAAATCAAAGTTTATTAATGAAAGCACAATACAGCATGCTGCAGTAATAGAAGGAATAGTATAATCTGCCTCGCTGTTTGGATTTAAATAGGCAGATACGGTACTTAAGAGTCTCCGATTGAATCATTATTGCAGTGATTATTTTGTTTCTAGCATGTTATGTTTGGCAACAGTTCTCCTCACCCTAATTGATAGAGTGTGTTCTTAAAGGTGCATTGCGCAACTTTTCATGTTAAAAATACCTGTTTTTCTATCCTATACATGCTTAAAGAACTGCCTGATGGGCTGAATGAGCGCTTCTCTGCGCACTGAGATTGCCTCTATAATCCTGTACAGTAAAATATATAAGAGGGATTCGGGCTCGAATTTGAGACTGGGCGTGACGTCATGCGCGTTCACGCTCACCAGGCTATGTCTCGCAGGTTTGTGTATTCGCCGGCGCCGCCATTCTTAGCATCAGCGAAGACAACTCGTGCGTCAAAGGTAGAAGATGGATTCAAAGAGACCGGCTTGTAGTCCATTCCTAACCCCAACGCAAACTCCACGTAAAGTAAAGAAAAGAAACATTTTGTCTAGTGCCACCAAAAGGGCCAAATTGGAGTCAGACAGGCGTCGGAATAAGACAGGAGTCAACCTCGGGAAGGCATTCAACAAATAGAGAGATCTCCGGTCTGCGCTTGGTCTCAAGCGGGATCCTCAGTTGGCGTTTTTCTTGATAAAACGGTAAGATATAGCCCAGTCTCTAATGTTTGATACGGCCAATCTATGTATGACAACAAATGACGATGCATAAAATGTGTAATGCTTTAGCGTAAGCTAGATACATGTACAATCAGAATTGGTTTTACTACCATTGACAGTTTCATAAACTAGGAATTGTGTTCGGAAGAATAGTACAACATGAAACATAAAACGTATCCAATAAAAGGTGCGTGTGGTCCATGAGCGTACACAACTCTGGTTGCAGTTTCGCTTGTCACCAGAGGGGGCGTAGTTCTGCAAAAACTCAGAGACTTGCGATTTGCACCTTTAAACAACCATGAAAGACACATCATGGCCATATTCCAGATGACAATGTCAGGATTCTTCAGGCTCAGATTGTGTAAGAATGGTTGTGAGGAGCATGAAGAGTCATTTTCACACATGAATCGGCTCCTCTGAGTCCAGATCTTAAATGCAAGTGTTTGGGATGTGCTGGAGGAGACTTTACAGAGTGCTGGACACTTGCATTGGCAATACAAGATCTTGAGCAAGATTGATGCACCTCGAAATAAATGTTGTGATGTTATTTCCATCAAGATCTTAGACAATGCAAGAGTAGCACGCTGTACAGTCTCCTCCAGCACAAACATATAACATGCTAGAAACAAAATAATCAGAGCAATACTGATCCAATCACAGACTCTTAAGTATTTGCATATTTAAATCCAAACAGTTACTTTTTTTGTGGCTTTTTTTGGGACAATTTTTCATGACATTTAAGCACTTGTACACACTTACTTTCAGAATCTATTGTAATAAAAATGTAAAGTATTTATACAGTACATCATGGTATTTGTTTTACTGAATTGCATTTGTTTTTTTGTTTTATTTTTTGCTGTGAAAAAATACATGTGTCCTGGAAATATAATTCTCATTAATGCGATAAGCATATTTAGGGCAATAACAAATAATTATTTGTTATGGACAACATTATACATTTCTCTTGTAATGTGATTACATTTAAATCATAAATTTGTCCCAAAGTCTTTTTTTTCCTGCTCCACATCTATACAATTCAACACTGAATACAGTATATTAATATCTCCTCTTCTTTTATCACTTATAAGCAAATCTAAGCTTATGTATCTAATGCAAAACAACAGGATTAATTTCTAGAAAATTACCTTGTCCTTCATGTTCAGTTAATGAATGTTACAATTAGGCTGCACCAATATTAATTCAGACCAACAATAATAATTAGGCCTATGATATACTAATATTGTCAGATACACCATTACTGTTTATAATTATACAAGCCACATTCAAGCTTCTTGTTTCAGGTCCACGTCTGGGAAGAAAAACAGCAATTATGTTATTGTTTTATATCAGCTTGCATTGACTAAAGTACATAAAGATGAATTTAGCTGTTATATAATGATATACACTCACCTAAAGGATTATTAGGAACACCTGTTCAATTTCTCATTAATGCAATTATCTAATCAACCAATCACATGGCAGTTGCTTCAATGCATTTAGGGGTGTGGTCCTGAATCTCCTGAACTCCAAACTGAATGTCAGAATGGGAAAGAAAGGTGATTTAAAAGGGTCATATAATGCCATTTTTGTACAAGCTAATATGATTCTTTAGGGTCTAAATTAAAAGTTTGTAATATACTTTAATTAAAAATTCTCATTAGTATTGTAAGAAACACTTATTTTACCTGGTCAAAAACAGCTCTGTTTTCAGCACGCCGTTTCAGTGCATATGACTTTAAATGATCATGAGCTTTGCTGACTCCGCCCCTCTGTTCTGTGCGTACACGTTTGTAACACAATACCATAACGCGTTGTTCATTATAGATGTGGGATTATGAATTATATTGAGAACGTCGTACATAGAAAACATGCCGTAATGTACCCTGAGTGTAAACCTTAGACGCATTCATTGTGAAGCGATTTGCAAAGATATAAATATTAATATAAAGTTTAATAAAACGTTACACTCACTTCAGTTGTTCTAGAGGTTCAGCAGGAACACGAATATCTGGTACCGATTCTTTATTCAGGAGCAGCTGCTTAGCAAACCCAGCTTTATACTTATCCTCGTTTATAAAGCAGTCTGGTGAGAAATGATTCGCGCAAACATGAAAGCATTGACATTGCTCGTGGGGAATATTCCCTTCGAAAACAAACTCAGCCACTGCGTCTTCAGCGGTTCGGATTTAGGAACATTAAAATGACTGTGTTCGTTATTACACCCAAGAACAGAACACCACAATCGCTTAGACGCCATTCTGCTCATAGACAGTGCTCCAGCATATCAACAATGACCGCGCCGGTCCGCGTGGACTATGATTGACAGCTCCCTCACGAGCGAGGGCGGGTCTGTGTTGAAACGCGCCTATCAATCAACAATCGCGGGAGGGGCGTGCGAGCGTGTGACGTCACACGGTCGAACGGCTCGATTTGAGGCAGGGGAAAACATATAAGGAGATTAAAACAAAAACACTGGATGGATTTTTATCATTATATGATGGTTGTGTACAGGCACTGCCAACACACATTTCAGTACAATCAACTTGAAAAAGTGCATGTACCATTATATGACCCCTTTAAGCAATTTTGAGCGTGGCATGGTTGTTGGTGCCAGACGGGCCGGTCTGAGTATTTCACAATCTGCTCAGTTACTGGGATTTTCACGCACAACCATTTCTAGGGTTTACAAAGAATGGTGTGAAAAGGGAAAAACATCCAGTATGCGGCAGTCCTGTGGGCGAAAATGCCTTGTTGATGCTAGAGGTCAGAGGAGAATGGGCCGACTGATTCAAGCTGATAGAAGAGCAACTTTGACTGAAATAACCACTCGTTACAACCGAGGTATGCAGCAAAGCATTTGTGAAGCCACAACACGCACAACCTTGAGGCGGATGGGCTACAACAGCAGAAGACCCCACCGGGTACCACTCATCTCCACTACAAATAGGAAAAAGAGGCTACAATTTGCAAGAGCTCACCAAAATTGGACAGTTGAAGACTGGAAAAATGTTGCCTGGTCTGATGAGTCTCGATTTCTGTTGAGACATTCAGATGGTAGAGTCAGAATTTGGCGTAAACAGAATGAGAACATGGATCCATCATGCCTTGTTACCACTGTGCAGGCTGGTGGTGGTGGTGTAATGGTGTGGGGGATGTTTTCTTGGCACACTTTAGGCCCCTTAGTGCCAATTGGCCATCGTTTAAATGCCACGGCCGACCTGAGCATTGTTTCTGACCATGTCCATCCCTTTATGGCCACCATGTACCCATCCTCTGATGGCTACTTCCAGCAGGATAATGGACCATGTCACAAAGCTCGAATCATTTCAAATTGGTTTCTTGAACATGACAATGAGTTCACTGTACTAAAATGGCCCCCACAGTCACCAGATCTCAACCCAATAGAGCATCTTTGGGATGTGGTGGAACAGGAGCTTCGTGCCCTGGATGTGCATCCCACAAATCTCCATCAACTGCAAGATGCTATCCTATCAATATGGGCCAACATTTCTAAAGAATGCTTTCAGCACCTTGTTGAATCAATGCCACGTAGAATTAAGGCAGTTCTGAAGGCGAAAGGGGGTCAAACACAGTATTAGTATGGTGTTCCTAATAATCCTTGAGTGTATATGCTATATGATTTAACAGAGTAGTTTAAAATTCTCACTGGAGCAAAATATATGACAATTATTAGGCCAAAACGGCATCTTAGCATTTTTGTTTTTTATCATTTCTTAAGCAAACAGGTTTTTGCAAGTTACATACCGCGTTGTGTGTGTTATGTAAGGCAGTTCCTGAACACTGCTCACAGGAAATAACGTAACTTCGTAAAGTCCACCCCTAATTAGTGTGTGGGTTAGATTAGATAACACACCTGGAAATAGGTTTCTTTGAGGACACTACTGTATATAGCCCATAGTTATATATACTGTAGACACAGAATGGTTTCTTGCCACATTAACAAACACTCAAATAAATCACCAAAATGTATCAGCCATCAAATTAAAACCTTTAAGAGCTCCTGGTTAACAGAGAGTATTTTTTTTATA